GACTAATGATGGTTTGTCTAGGCATGCAGCCGACTCTCTTGTATGGAAGACATTCGACCAACGAAACCTAATATTTTCTAGTGACAGTTGTAATGTTAGGTTTGGGTTGGCATCTGATGATTTTAATCTGTTCAGGTCGATGAATATAATGCATAGTACTTGGTCTATTGTCTTAATACCATACAATTTACCACCATGGATGTCCATGAAACAACAATTTCTTATGTTGCATCAGTTACAAACAGAGGGTATCTTGACTGAATATAAGCATGATGAACTTAAGAAAAGGAAAAGGAAAAGGATAGGAGTAGAGAGAGTGAAAGAGGGGAACCAAAAACACAGTTGGAAGAAAAGAAGTATTTTTTATGAATTGCCTTATTGGTAGCACAATCTGATCAGGCATAATCTTGACATAATGCATATAGAGAAGAATGTTTGTGATAATATTGTGTGGTCATTATTAGGGGTTGCTGGAAAATCAAAGGACAATTTGAATGCACGACGTTAGTTGAAAGAAATGAATATTAGAAAACCATTACATCCCCAATCCAAAGGGTCTAGTAAAGAGTACTTACCTTTGACAAACTTTCAACTGAGCAAGGATGATAAACATATATTTTGCAAAGTGTTAAAGCAAGTGAATGCATCCAACATTTCTCAATATGTGCACATGAAAGAGAGTACTTTTTGGGGCCTTAAGAGTCATGACAGTCATATATTGATGCAACAATTCCTACCCCTTGCGATCCGGAAATCATTGCCCAAGTGTGTTGCGGAACCATTGACTGAATTAAGCAATTTCTTCTGACAATTGTGCTCAAAAGTGAATTCTATTGGAGACCTTGAACAAATTAATGATCGCATCGCGGTAACACTTTGTCATATGGAGAAAATCTTTCCACTCGCATTCTTTGTCATAATGGAACACTTGCCTATGCATCTGGCTGAAGAAGTAATGATTGTTGGACCACTATAGTTTAGATGGATGTACCGCATTGAGAGGTATGTGTTTCTTGGTTAAAGAAAGGGTGTGATACAAATAAGGTTTTAAGAGTACATTTATCCATCTTTTGTGTCAATAATTTTGTGTCCTAATGTACTTATAGGTACCTTCTCACTCTAAAACAATTTGTGCACAATTGAGCTCATCCAGAGGCTCCAATAGCAAAGGGTAACTTGATGGAGGAGAGTACAACGCAAAATTGTTTTTTATTTTATAGGTTGCACATAAAGGATAAATGTTGCACATGCCATCATTTATTTATATTTTTGAACTATGTGTACTTAATGAGTACTTTTGAACATTTTAGAAATGTTGAACTATATTGATATGTAATTAGATTTGGATGTTTGTGGTAATTAAAATATTGTTGCACCTATAATTTATTTTTAACGTTTATGGTATATTTTATGGGAGATTTATATGAAATGTACAGGAGATGTAATTATATTTATCAATGGACAGGAATCAGGTGCCTATTTTTTTGTAAAAATTATATTTGCAGTAATATGTGAGTATTTGTTTTAAAAAAAAATAGGGTATGCCAAAGCAAATAATTTGTTTTTTGATTCAGCACTTTGCTGAAGCAAATACCCTATTTTTTGCTTCGGTTCTCGCATACCGAAACAAATATTTCTCTTTTGCTTCAACTTTTTTTACTTCGGCAATTGGCCGAAGCTAACTTTTTGCATCGGCCGCTTTTTACTACGCCCCTTTTGCCGAAGCAAAAGACCGTTTTTTCTTGAGGGGCTCCTCTAACTATATCTTTTATTGCAATCAACTCCCTATATAGTTTCAAATGTTGCAATTTGCTCCTTTCAAGTTTTAAGTGGATAAAATTGACTAACAACAGTGGTTGAACACTTGAAAATAACCATTACACCCTTTGTCTTGTATATTATTTTTCATATATTTTTTTAAGATACCACTTTTGTCCCTAAAAAATAAGATAAAGAAAAAGCTAAGACTAAAAAATAATGAAACATTCGCCTCTGCCTCATCATAGGGAAGATAGAGGTTCTACCAAAAGGGGGAAGAGATTTGGAGCTAACCATTTGAGATAATGGAGGATGGAACCGTAAAAGGGAAAGTATGGATATTTGGCATATGGGAAAAAATAGGTATAAGGGTAATTATCTCTTTTTAATAATGTAGAGATCACCTGAATTTAAAATGTCTAACTTTTATCAATTTTTATTGTCTAAAAATAACTATTGGAGTTAATTGCAAAATATTCAAACTTAAAACAGGTTATTTATTGAAATTAAAACTTGAAGGAGTGATTTGTAAACTATCTAAAGTTGAAAGGGGTATTTTATAATTAATCCTAAAATCTGAGTGGAATTGCACCTTTTGCAAATTAAGTGAGAAACTTGCAGCTGTGGGAAGCTATAGTTGGGAAGATTTATAATGTACGACCAAATTCTTATTGTGATTTTCGAAATTATTCATGCAAAGCCAGAACAATAACAAATAAATTCAATTGACTCGATTGTCGAACTAGAACTGTTATAGACTTTGATCAAGATTAGTGGTTGACACTATGTTCTTAATACATATTTCGCTCTCACACGGGTGCTTATAATCTCCTTCCGCGCTGACCTCTCATGATATAATAATCGGATATACACAAGGCAAGCCCTGTAATCTGTATATCTAGTGAACCAAAATTATATTTATGTACTCTCCGTTATGGACACTGATAATGGCTAAAATTATGAATACAATGACTGTAATGACTAAATATTGATGTGCTTAGTTCTAATGACGTATGTGCATATGTATAGATAAGTTGGTGACTAATCAGAATAGACACAGTGCGGGTGGAAAGATCTTGCGTTCATCTAGTGCAAATTTTAAATTCCAATGGTTAAGGACCCAATTAACAAATGAATTTTACCTAAACAGATAAAGTTGGATCATACCCATACCCGAACCCGATCTAGAGTGACAATATGTGGTCAAACCCAAGTTCATATAGGCCCTCTCCCATCTACAGAAGTAGGGTGCCCCTTATTGTCCAACCCTTAGAGCATCTCTATTAAAATATGTAAAACTTCAAAATAGTTAAAATTTAGTTTATCAAAGACAAAAATCATGCTCTAACAGAATATATTTAGATGCTCTAAAAACATCTCTAATAACAAAAACTATTTTAGCTATTCAAAAAGTAACATTTTTTATTTTAACTACTCACTTTTTTAATGCACATTCTAACAAATTTTCTATATTTTTGATTACGCTTTTTCAATATTATTTCTCATTCTTTTTGTATTATTATTTTTTGGAATAGGGAAAGGGAGAAAGAGAGAGAATGGAAGAAATGAGAGGAGAGAGAGAAAATATTATAAATTGTTTTTACATATCGCTACAGTGATATTTTAAATATAGAGTATTATTGTAACAAAATGTTATTTTAGATGTTTTGAAGATAATCTATTGGAATGGAATTTTTGGGCTAAATAATTAAAATTTGAAAATTTTGTATGTTTTAGATCATCTGTTGGAAATACTCTAAAATGATTTTTTACTACAGTAATACTCTAAATACGAAGCATCACTGTAACAAGTTGTATAAATATTTCATAATTTTTTCTCCCTCCTCCGGTCATTTCCCATCTCTTTTGTCCATGCTTTATCTTTCTCACCATTCTCTCTCTCACTCTCCAACAGTCCTAACAAAAGTATAAAATATGTGAAATAATATTTAAAATATAAAACATTTGTTGAAATGTGTATTGAAAAAGTGAGTAGGTAAAATAGGAAAAATGTACTTTTAGATAGCTAAAATACAAAACCTTATTGAAGATGCTCTTAGAGCAAAGCTAGTGTATATATTCTCACTTGGGAATTATTACCCAATCAATGTGAGATTGATGTTAAATTTTATATGTGTCAAACTCTATTTTTAAGAGTGAAATACAAACTTATGAAATTTTAACGATGAGTGCGTCCCATTTTAATTTACGATCAAAGTCAACAAAAAAAAAATCCGATTTTTGACTTCAAAAAATTATGTTTTTTTCCAACAATTTTAATAATCTGCATGAACTTGGAGTTCATCCACAAGTCATAAATAGGTCATCTGCACTACATTTTTTCTTCCATTGCTCTTACAGGTTCCAAAATCCTCCGTTTTAGTTATTTGGTAAACCCGTGCCTGTTAGATCATGAGGAGCTCATTGAACTCCATCTATACGTAAAGAACACTCAAAAGATATCCAAAAGATGACCTACAGAGAAGGACCAAAAAAATATATAGAGATGGTTCAGAGCTTGATTTTTAGTATTTCAGCGATCTTAGATTCGATACTTTTCTTATTTTTAAGGGTTAGTTGTCCTTATTCATTAAGAGACATATCCTAAACTCGCTCAAGTTACGGTTGTCAATATCTGAATTTGAAAAAATAATCAACGTAAACCTGAATACTTTCTAAAATAAAACATTAAAGATGAAAAAGAGGCCGAAGAGAATAGTACCCGAAAAGGATTTGAGAGAACACCATGTATTTAGTGAAATTCGACGAGAAAACCTTCCAAACAATTTTTATTTTCATCCTTCTGTCAGAAAAACAATCCCAAAGTAAAATAATAATAAAAAAAAGTTTACAATCTATTAATGAGTTTTAAAGAGGAACATTAGATAAAGGCTTAATTTTTGATATTATTTTTTTGCAAAAAATGACTCTTCATGTTCGAATCTCCGATCTCAAGGATGAATAACATTTTTAATCTCTGTTATCTTATCCCATGAATTATTGAGGTCTAAAAGAGTTACTATTGAACTATGGGCAACCCATCCAAACTCACTCTAATTTGACAGAGTGGAAGTGTAATTTACTCAAGAGACAATCAGCAATCAAAAATTCAAAAAAAATCCAAATCAAATAGAACCACAAACTCAGCTAACCAACTTTATCCACAATGACAAATCTTCAAGAAATTTAGTTTATAATTCCTCTAGCAGAAAATTTCGGGGGCAGAAAACAAAAAAGAAGAAAGTTATGGGAGTTCTGGGTTTTCTGCAATTCACTCCCCCTCAAGTTCCGCCTCATCAGACCCTCTCTTCTTCTTCTTCTGCAAATTGTAATAAGAACCTTCTTACAAGACGTAAAGCTATAATCTTTAGTTCCTCTATAGTGGCCTCTTATGTCCACCTGTATCAAAATTCAACTATTTCTTCACTTCACTCTGCCTTTGCCCAACAAACGGAAGACCTTCAGCAGGAAGAAGACCGGCTCGTTCATGTCTTCGAGGTTTATCTCTCTCTCTCTACACACACACACACAAGTATAGATTTTGTTAAAATTTTCATTTCTGTGCTTTTTTGGCTGGCTGTTACAAATTCCTTGCTAATCTGTATGGCCCAGTTCATCTTTCAATGTGATTCAGTGATAGAACATGGGATGAATTGAGGGCCTTTCTCTGACAAACTATAATGAAGGGGTCAATATAATTATGTCACCTAGACTAGGAGTACGAAGAATTTGTTGATCCTAGGTTTCTAAGCTTAGTGGGGGTAAGACTACAGAAGTCACATGTATTTTTACAAAAACTAAATAGGGTCAAGTTGAACAAAAAAGATTGGGTCAATTTTAAAATATTAGGGTCGATCCTAAGATGTTCATGATTGATTTAAAAAAAACACTGAATGTTAGGACTGATCCCAAAGAGTTCCATGTTGCTGTAACCTTATCTGATTAAGTTGTAACCTTTGCCTTATTTTGTCATTTTGGTGTAGTACAAAAAAGTAACTTTTATATGCCGTAGACTTATCGTCTTTGTAGTGGTGACTGCAGGTACTAGTGTTCATTTCTAGATTTTGATGTATACAATGAGACAGATTTTGTGTTTCTGCATTATCATTTGAGGTTATTATTACAGCTACAGGCATAGTGGCTCATTTAGTATTTGAAACTTCTTTGACAGTGGGTAGTATTTGGGGTAGAAACTCATAATAACTCTCTAAGCATGAAGAGCAAGGAACTATGAGAATAATACTAACCAAACTAAATCCAACCATGCCTTATGTACCAATCACGTGGGATCGGCTATATGGGTCCGTCTAAACTATGAGAATAATACTATAGACATATAATCATTTCATTGGAAATTTAAGGTCATTATGGGTGTAGTCTGATTAGTGTATAATATAGTTAGAGACAAACTATTTTATCATAAGGGAACAATTTAAAAGCGAAAAAAGACGTTATGGTTCGGTTCGGATAATAATTTTAGATTTTACATAGAACCAAGTTTAAGGCTTTTTTTGTTCTGGTGGGAATCAGGGAATGATATGTCTTCGTGATTGATCGAAGAGGCTGCTTCCAAATGGAACAATTTATTATGGTTTTCTTGTGTTGGACATGGTCTGACACACGGTTGTTATAAAGCATTAAAATTGAGGCCATTGTCTAGTACAATGTGGATTACTTTTGATATCCAAAAGGATGCAAGTTAGAACCTGAGGGAGTCAATTTGTGCAATCAATGTCAAATGTTAGGTCTGAACCTCGTTCAGCCCTCCCAGCACCTTTGGTAATTTGAACTAAATTGCATAATTGCCTTTAGATACCATTTTTGTTTTTTCACAAATAGCCTGTATATTATAATGGAGTTCTCCTAGTTCAATTATTGCACAATTCTTGATACAATAAGAAATTGAAAAAGCTCATTACTCAACTTTGTTCTTGATACTTCTAACACTGGACTATGCAACCTCAAATATTTCTAAAATTTCCTATCAAGATGCCTTTAGGCATTGAGAGAATCTTCTTACATGAGCTCTTCATTATTCTTCATCTAATTTGGACAATGCTTTGTTTAGTTTGGTTTGGTTTTATTAGTTTATTTCATCTCTATTTTTCATGAGCCTGAAAAATCGTTTCTCAGTGCAAAGTACTTTTTCATTTATTTGTTCTCTTCTCATGGGTTACTGATCAATTCAACCAATTTTTTCTACACTATTTTGGATGTACTTGTAATTTACACTGAAAGAGTTTCTTGCTCAAATTTTAGGAAACTTCGCCTTCAGTCGTGTTCATTGAAGACATTGAATTAGCAAAAATCCCCAAGAGCTCTACTGAGGCCATGCAGTCCGAAGATGACAATGCAAAAGTTGAAGGGACAGGTTCGGGCTTCATCTGGGATAAGTTTGGTCACATTGTAGGATTTCATTCTTTGAATTTGATATTTGAAATAACTGTTCAGCATGCATCCCCATATGTTGATGCTTATTTTGTTTCTTTTTTTTTCTCTAATCCGAATAATCTTCGGTTCTGACTAAAATTCATTTAATAGTTTTTGTTGAAATCTTTGAGATGTAATTTATCAATATCAGTAGCTGGCTTCTTTTGCTTTCACATAAAAAGGATGATCTAGAACAACATATTTCCATTACAATGGGAATCTAGTTACGTCCAATAATATGTTTTTGTGTAGCCTCTAGGGTATCTTTTGGGCTCTCTTCCTTTGATGCTAGCTTCAATGAGATTTTCTGAACAGTATTATTAGCATCGTGTCACAATATTATCAGATTTCTCAGTATGTAGGGTCTTGCTAATCTCCTTTGTTGGCCAGGTCCAACAACTTTTCTGAGTGCTTTTATGTTTGGTTGTTTGTAGTTTGTTATGAGACTTGTCCAAGGTTGTCATCTTGTATTTTCTTCACTGTAGTTGAAGCTTTACTTTGACCATGAGGGTATGTGCTTCAGTATATTGAAACAGATCATTTTGTAACTGACAGGTCACTAACTATCACGTCATAGCTAAGTTGGCTACAGATAGAAGTGGACTACAGCGTTGTAAGGTTCTGTTCATGTTTATTGTTTTCATTCCCTTAAATCGTTCTATCATTCATTCCTGATCAATGAACTGTATGGAGTATGCTAAATCTTCATGTATTACAGCAGTCCTTTTTCCATGGAGTACCAATATTCTGTCAGTGTTCTTCTTTTGCAGATATTGCTTGTTGATGCAAGCGGCAACAGCTTTTCCAGAGAAGGCAAGATTATTGGTTTTGATCCATCATATGATTTGGCTGTTCTAAAGGTTCTAACTCAAAGCCTTGTTGCTGTCATTTGTAGTTCTTTATTGATCTGTAAAGGTGCTCGCATACAGATTTGGATTCTCAAAGTTAGTAGTCATAATGTATACAGCTTATAGAGTAGTAAATTTGAATCTCTGCATCTGTTCCTAGGAAATCATATTGGTTGAAAAAAATCATTTTTGAAAAAAATCCTTGGTAGGGCTCTAAGCTCTGTCACAGATATGGTAAAAATGTATTGGTTCTTTGTTGTGGAAAGAACTTGACAGTCTGAGGTGAACATTACGCAGAATTGCACAAGTGACTATACATCTCACGAGTAACGTCAAGTTTGACTACTAAACAGGAAATTAGTGCTCCCCAAACCTTGCAACATATGATGGAGAAAATTGGCATGAGAGATAGTTCACTCTCAGAACCTTAAAAACAGTAGCACTTTGGTAGACAATGCCAAGTTGTTGTAGCGTCTGTTTACTCCTTACTAAAACTTGGAGGCCAAAGCCTATATTCAATAGCCAAACAGGCTCTGGCCTCTGAGTTTTTGTAAGCCTACAGTTAATAGTCAGTAATATGGGCCATAAGCTAATTATTCAATATTATTTTATGTTATTGATATTGTTGTTTAATCATATCAACAGAGCACCAAGACCATTCAATCCACCATTGTAATTTTTCATTTAGATGCTAGTCTAAAACTAGAGGCTAGTTAAAAGTTAAGAAGCACATATACTAACACGGGATATGGATGTGATGTGACACAGACACAGGACGGATACGTTGCTATTCATAACAAACTTAATTGTTTATGATAAGTAAACTTATGTCTAGTCAACTAATGTGGATCATTAGACTAAAGAATCATAATAGTGAATAATTGTCCATTTTTGTTAATAGAGATTGTGTAGCAAGCGTATATAGTTACAATGATTGCCCTCATCTTCTCAATTCTTCTATTTTAGCGATAGTTTAATGCATCTTTTTTATGGGTAAATTTTAAGTACACCTTTAACATGAGTAGTCTTAATAATTTTTTAACCATTCATAGTATAAGATAGTCATTTGTCACTTTCTGTGAGATAGTCATTTGCTGATTCTTAAGGTTTGTTGATTGCGACCTAAAGATGTGTCGGGCACGTTACCAAAAAGTGTAGAACACGTATCCGAAATTAAAATTTTATCTTTTAATTATGGACACGAATAAAAAAGTATCAAACAAGTGTCCAAGAAGTATTGGTGTTTGACATGGATACATAATCTGCGTAAAATAGCATGTTCATCTTAGTTCCCGCAACTTCTACTGTAGATCTTGTATAGAGATTGGCCGGTGTGGATTAGCTATCAGTTTGGTTGGTTCGTGGAGTTTTCCATGTTAATTTTTGTAAAGTGGCACTATATATGGTATCCTTTCTGGCCAGAAACTCTTTAAAACCCATGTGAATTGACTCTGCCTCACGAGGTTGGTCATTTAGTGTCAGTTTTGTCCACTTGGTCTTGATGTTGAAGCTCTGTCAGTTATTAGTCTAGCTAAACTAGACATACAAGCTAGCTTTTGATATTCCAGGCGAAGATGTCACTAAGGTTGTAAGCTTCAAATATTTTATCATCCTAATTCTAAGATTTTGAATATGGTCCCCATTTTGTGTTTCACGTGTAACATATTTATCTTACAGACCCATTTTCTGTCATGTTCGTCCCTTTTTATTCAACTGTTAAGTATGCATTCATAATTTCATATATAATTATAATGCAAGTTACATATTCATATCGAATTTAGGATACTGCTATTTCAGACAGGTGTTACCTTGGTTTGATTAGATAATTTTCAATTTGCTCCAATACTGCTAAAATTCATTGACGTCCTCAGGTGTATCTAATATGACCCCAGAGGCCATATCTTTGCAATCAACTAAATGTCTAAAATTTTCCTTTCTTTAACAAATGCTCCTTGATGTTTGAAATAGTCTCCCCCAAAAATCTATCTGATAAGATAGGTAATAAAGACGTTCTGTGCTTGTAGGTCTGTATCTTATTATCTTTATTTAGTTGTTGTTGTGTGCTATCTGCTACCATGTGCTCATAGGCATACTAGTTGCTTCCAGATTCATTGAAGGATTGAGCACCATAGATCTGCTAGTTGCTGCTGAGGTTCAATCAAGGATTGAATACTATCAGTCTACTCTATCAAGATATGGTATAGGAGATAATGCCCTGAGAGGGGAAAATATGCAAAGAGAGCTCCCTTGACTAATGGTAGGTTACTCCCTTAAGTCAAAGAGATGTGTTCTATCAAGACTGTATAAGACAGCCAATCCAAGGATAAGAATACTTCTCTTGATAGATCACATCTCCTTGACTAAAGGAGTAACCTCCCATTAGTCAAAGGAGCTCTCTGATGCATGTACTCCTCTCTAATGACATTATCTCCAACACTATATCTTGATAGAGCAGAATAATAGTTTTCAATCCTTGATTGAATCTTGGTAGCAAATAGCACACTTATAGTGTCCAGTCCTTCAATGAATCCGGCAGCAACTTGCACGTCGATGAGCACACGGCAGCAACTAGCACACGTGACATGACAACAACTAATTAGAGATCATGAGATGCAAAGCTACGGGCATGTGGCAGCAACTACGAGCTAATGACATCTTTATCACTACCTCACAAGACTTGGCTAAAACTTCTAAAGACTAGTCACCAAGCTAATAGGGCTATAATCATTTATCTTGAAAGAATTATGTTTTTCAGAAATCAAGCAATTATATGCTGCATTATTGTTACCATTCACCACCCCATTATTAGAGAACTCCCTAAGCGCCTTCATCAAATCATCCTTAATGAAATCCCATCAGTCTGGGAACATTGTCATTGAAAATTTATCCGGCCTCAGAGACTTATCCCTATTGCACTCAAACACTGCCTGTTTTATCTCACTTTCTTCAAATGGTCTCTCTAACTAACATGCTTTACTTTCGCTTGTAGGATTCCACTCCAAACCCATAGTCCTTGGTCCCTCCATGTTTTCTTCTAAATACCCCACCTCTCAAAGATACTTATGATCTCTTTCTCAATCTTTTCTTTCTCCTCTAAAATAACTCCACTGTCAACTCTATTTTTTATAAATAAAACCTCGATAATTTGAGGGAAATTTTATTAAGTAATCAAAAGATTAGAACTGAAACAGGGGACATAAACCTTACCCCGTAAGAAACAAACATCATCACTAATTATAAAGGAAATCATCAAGCCAATTAAGATCCATCCACCCATCATAGAACCAATCTAGAGACAATCCTTTTCTGCCTCAAAGCTCTAATTTGCCTATGGTCATGCATCAGTAGCTGGGAGCAAAGAAGCCGTAGTAACCTCACAATTTTTTGTATCCAAAATACCTTTATTTGCCAAAAAGTCAGCAACTGAGTTTGCTTCCCTGTATATATGTACAACTCCATTGTCAACTTCCAACTTATGAGATTTTTCTTCCTCCTCCCTTTTGTCACCCTACGAAACAATTTGGAGCTATTGTCCCCCTCTTTTACACGCATAATCTTAGTTTTTTGCCGCCTCAAAATTTCTTCTTTAAAGGCCACTTCCTAAAATTTGTTTCTCAAAACACTCATCGTTTGTCTCAACTAGGTTTTTCTTTTGGAATGGTGGCGTTCTAATGGGATGAGCACAATAATGGAAAAAGAAGACAGCATCTGAAGGCAATCTCTTTTGGGAGACACATTTTATGCATGCAACATACAGCAAGCCAGTGTTATTTAAGGCGTAAAGCGAACCGAAGCGAGCAAGGCTCCTAACGCCTAGGCGAGAAGCGAGAAGCGAAGCGACATGCTTTACCGAAGCAAAGCGAACAGTTAAAAAAAATATATATTTTAGTTTAATTACTTCTAAACAATCTAAGTTCTAATTTTATATATACTAAATATTTAAATGCAAGTAAAACCATAAACATTTAAATTAAAATAAACACTAATAATATCTCAAATCTTAATAACAGTCATAACTTAAACATTTAAATTCAAACAAATACTAACAATTGTATACATTTTCATATTGATAGGGTAGGACAACAAAAGAAGCAGAATCAGGACAGCAGCAGAATTAGCAACAAAAAAAGAAGAAGCAGAATGAGGATAAAAAAAAACAAAAGCAACACAGGACAGCAAAACCGAAGCAGCAACAGAATCAACAAAAAAAAATAGAAGCAGAATGAGCTAAAAAAAAAACAGAAGCACAACGATCATGATAGGAGCAGAATCAATTGTAAACAATTTCATATGTAATTATATACTGAATAAAAAAAAGCAGAACAGAGACACATTTCACATGTACTAAAATAATTAAACATGGTATAAGCATAGACCACTTTTTGGTATCATTTGTATATATATAAGAAAAGTGAAAAGTATAACCAAGACATATCAGAGATACTTCTTTGTAGAAGAATCTATTATTTACCCCCATTCCTGATACTCCTGCTTCCTTTTTTTATCATAATTGTCATGCAGTCGCCTGACTCTCACATCCCACAAATATTCTAAATGAATTTAGCAACACAAGAAAAAAAAAGGAATGTGTTTTGTTCGAAACATTGTTTATTAGAAAAAAAAAAAAATAGACCAGTAATAGTCTAAAAAAAAAGTCATTAGTGATTAAAAAATAAAAGAGACTACTAACCTGTAATCAAAAAAAAAAAAAAAGTGAAGCAGAATCGCCTTTTATAATAAAGCGTTCACTTTTTCGCTTTTTTCGCTTGTTCGCTTTTTCTCGCTTTTTTCTCGCTTCGCTCACGTTCGTTTCGCCTGGAGTCCTTCAGGCGAGATAAGCTCGCCTCGCCTCGCTTCTCGCCTAGGCGAGCGCCTAGGCGAGCTTTTCAAAACACTGCAGCAAGCCTTCAAAACACTGTCTGAATGTGATTCGTGATTTTGGGATGATATGTTAGGTCAAAGATTATTTTCAAATTTCAGGTTACTCCCTCAACTTCCATTCTTTGGTCCCGACATTTAAGCAGAACAACCATGACTGACCTTTAAATGTCTAAAGCTCAAGCATGCTTAAGCATATGCCAGAATGCTTGTGATTGCTGCTATACATTGTTCTTTCAGCATGATTGATTTAACTCTTACTTCATCTTATTATTTTGACATTTATGAAAAGTATAAATTAAGGGGTCTCATACAGTGTTTTGCAATGTGGAAATCAACTGAAAATGCTTCATCTAATGTTTGCAGGTTGATGTTGGAGGGCATGAACTAAAACCAGTCACTCTAGGCATATCTCGTGATTTACGGGTTGGCCAGAGCTGCTTTGCCATTGGAAATCCATACGGATATGAGGATACTTTAACAACAGGGGTAAGATTTTTGGAAAATGTGCTGGTTAAATACCTTATGAGGGCAAAGCCCTTAATGTATTTGCAACTCCTTGTGGCCATTACTGAACTTTTTAGTTGTATTGATGAGCTTATTTTACCTTAGTTTACTTCTTTCTGATCAATACGTCTTGCTTGCAACAATGTTTCGGGGCATTCTGTGTAGTTTATCTTTAGCAACAATCTTTTTCTAAAGTGGGTACCTGTTAATGCATCCTCCTTTTGAAGAAACACAGATGGCTACTTCCTTTAAGGCAAGGAAAATTTAATTGGCTCAGACATCTCATGCCATGAGGACTTAAGGAGGGGGGTTTGTGTAGAAAAGGAGAGGAAAGCATAGGGAGAAAGTTGATGTAGCCCACATCTTCATAAAGGGTTGAGAGAGATGATCCCTTGCTACTAATTAGAGGGGTATTGATGGCCAAGGCCACATATCTGGGCAAGGCATATGCACAGGATAGCAAATAAATTGACTATACGTATCTGATGCTATATCTCCTTTGGGTGGGACCCACTCGTTAGAGATTTGATGTCCAAGGAAGCAAAACCACCAATACTGGCTTTGATATGCTCATATACATGCTTCAGTGTGATGGTAGTGGTGTGATCCCATGGTATCACCCTTTTCTGATTTTGAAGTCACAAATGGCTACCTGCACATACCAAAACAGAAGGCTGCCCACATGGAGCCTTCATGGCAAACACAGGGATCTAATGCCTATACAAAGTAGATTAACTAAGGTATAATGATGAACTTACTTGCTGCAGGTAGTGAGTGGGTTAGGGAGGGAAATACCGTCACCAAACGGCGGAGCCATCCGTGGTGCAATTCAAACAGATGCTGCAATTAATGCAGGTTCGTAAGAGAAGTCGTAAAAATTTCTTCCTGCCTTTGGGTAGACGTATTGCATATATTGCATTTTCCACCGATCATTGGCTTTTTGTCTGAGTAGTACTTTTCTAATTTCTAACCATTCAGACATTGCTTTTTGTCATTTATGTGCAGGAAATTCAGGTGGACCCTTGATCGATTCATATGGCCGTGTTATTGGAGTTAATACAGCCACTTTCACTCGCAAAGGTAAAGAAATGTTTCTCTCTTTTTGCATACGCAAGATTAGTTTTTCTACAAAAATTGCTTCATATGTTTCTGCAAGAACTACATCTTGACAAAAAAAATATTTTCAGGGAGATTAGCTTGCAATGGAACAGCATAATAATTATTTACATCATGTGTCCAACTTTCTGTTGTTTCATTTGAGAAATAATTTTTTTTAATTCATCCTAAATTCTTTCCAAGATCATTTGTTTGGCAACATGTCTCGTCTCAGAGATGGTTTCATCACCGTCATGTCTGAACATTTCAAATATGACTAGCTCATACATTCTAACTGCCTTCCAACACAAGACCTCTATCTTTGGGGATTTCTAGTTTTAACCATTCGGAAGCTACAATTTTAGATGAAGAATTTATATTAGTTCAACTATTAATTATAATGCAGGGACAGGAGTATCCTCCGGTGTTAACTTTGCAATACCAATCGACACTGTTGTCCACACTATACCGTATCTCATTGTATATGGAACGCTTTATACTGACAGGTATTAACTGTTTCTGTTTGTTAAATCAGATTAATGCTCTAGTTGGTGTTGGTAGTGTTCTCAGGCTGTTGCCTTACAGGTTTTGAGCCCTTAAGCAAAACATTGGAATCAAGAGGTAGTTTTGTCTGATCATGTGCTGCACTTAGACACAAGGCCTCCACAAGCTGTAAGACTTGTCAAGTATGTTGTAATTAAGATTAAATTCCAAAGATGAATCTAAAGGAGTACTATGGAACAATTTACTCTTTAAGCTTTGTAAACTCAATCGTCTCCTGATTTATAAATGGGGCTCTGTTTTATTTTATAGTAATACCGAACGTTGGTGGTTTTATGATGTTGTTATACTTTCATCGTACTTTCAAACTTATTTTTGAATTGACCGAGGTTTCTATAAAAAAATGAGTCTAACTCATTCCTTTCAACATGAATGTGTTTTAATGATTTGAAGTTTTTTTTTTTCATTGAAAGCATGCTTTGCAAACACTTTTTTATAAGTGAATTGAGAACTGAATTTGGAATCATTGCAAGGGCTCAACGTGACTTTACCATTGCTGATACACTAGCATATTGTACCATAAATGAGGTTTTATCTTCTTGTTACTGTAGAAATTTTGTTTCTATTAGTTCTTTCTTTTATTTAATGGCGTTCATTAATCCCACAACACTAATTCGTTTTTCCTTTCATGTTGCTAGTACATGAGCAATGTCCTCTTTCAAGCAATTGTTTGGAGGGTGCACCCACATCTTAAAGCAATGTTTTGGCAAGGTCACAGCCTCACAGAACATGTCAAATTATGTGTACTTTTCGAACGCCTTGTACAGTAATAGGATCCATTGCTAATTAAACCATAACAATGAATATAGTTGGAAAAAAAATGTTTTAGTAAAATGAGTCTAAATAACATTACTGGGTCATGCTAAGTTTGACACTGCAAAACTATAGACACTATAAATCCTCTTTCAGAAGAAATAACATTAACCATAAATATAATAAACTCATTTTAAGATAATCTATATAATAAAATATAACACAATTCAAATCTTAAAAAATAAATAAAACGACTTTTGTTATTTGCAGTTGAGATTTCTTTAAATTTTACTTTATAGTTAATATAACGGCTAATATTAATACTCTAAATTTAATAGGAAAAAAAAATTTCTAAATATGTGTTTAGAGTGACTTTTTAAAAATGTTTCTACAAATTATTTATTATAAATATTTTTAAAACAAAAAAAAGTACTGTTTGGAACCACCCCAACCCCATGTCTACCCCCACCAACCCCATCGCCCCACCACCATCACCATTACCACCACCACCATCACCACTATAACTACCCACCACCACCACCACCACCACTGCCACTTCCACCACCCTACCACCACCTCCATCGCCCCACCACCACCACCACCACCACCACCATCTCCACCGCCCCACTATGACCATACCTACCACAACCACCATCACCCCTACCACCACCACCACCCCCCGTCACACCACTTCCCCCACGATCATCACAACTACCACCACCACTACCATCGTTGCCAAACCACAGTTGCTGTAGCCACCCCCACCATTGCCACTGCCCCACCACCTCCAACCCCAAATGCCTGCCGCCACCACCATCACCATTGTCACCCATCACGATTGCTACCACCGTCGTCCACCGCCACTACCACTCATCATCATCGTTATCTTATTCTTATATTTATTATCATTATCATCATTATCCTACTACCATCGCCACCCACCGTTAGCATCCACTACCACCCGTTGTTGCCCACCATCGCCACTAGCCACTACCACCCATCCCTACCACATCTACCACCACCACCTGTCATCACTCACCACCGTAATCACCCATTATCACCTACCTTCACCATACTTACTACCACCATTACCACCATCATTCGCCACCACTCATCACACTGTCCCCTAAAAGCATGCATCGTCGCCCATCATCACCACCTATTACCACCACTGTCAACCACCATCACCATCAACCACCACCACCCACACCCACCACCACCACCATCACCCACGACAGTCATTACCACCGTCGTCACCCAAAACCCATCACCACCATTGTTACCTAAAACCCACCACCACCATCACCTTTGCCACACATGACTGTTATTACCACGACGGTCGTTGCCACTCACCACAATCATCACTGTCTCCCCACCATCACCAATATCGTCCACCACCATTACCACCGCTCATCCGCACTATAATTGGTTCTTAAATTCTTTTCTATCTCCTTTATTTTTATGATTTGATTTTGAGTGTGAATACAAATATGTTTGTTGTTGAACATTTTTTTTATTACTCTGTGCTTTCAGGAACGACGAATAACTAGTACATCTATATGATAAAGTACAAAGATTGAAGATATAAAAGATGACTTTTATTTTTTGCAGTTGCGATCATTTTAAATTTTATTTTAAAGTTAATTCGACAACTAATATTAACTTCCTAAATTTAATAGGAAAAATAGGTTTCCTAAGGGTGTGTTTGAGGTGATTTTTTAAAAATATTTTTAAGACTTATGACTTTCCATAAGTACTTAAAAAAAATAGTATTTGGAATAACTTATTTTAATTACTTCTAAATAGGTCTAAAGTAGTTTTATCATTTAATTAAGTAAAAAAAAAATAATTTCAACTTTTTTAAAATCATTTATTTACAAAAACTTCACCACTATAAACGCCGTCGTTTTCCTATCACCACTATCGTCCTCATCACCGCTGCTGCCACCTCATCACCACCGTCATTGCCTTACCACCACCCCCACCACCGATTGCTACCACTGCCACCCCCACTACCAGCCATCACCATCACCATAACCATAACCATCACCATCATCATCTCATTCTTATATTTATTACCATTATCATCATCATTCCACCACTACCATCGTTCACTATTACTAACCACCATTGTTGCCCACCACCACCCATCGTCTTCCATCACTGTCGCTACCCACTGTCACCCACCCTCACCACACTTACCACCGCCCACTACCGTCGTTGCCCACAAACACCTATTGTCGTCAACCACCACCATCATCACCATCCACCACCACAACCCACTATCGTTGTCACGTCATCGCCACTGCTGCCAACCACCATCGCCGTCACCCACCATTGCTGCACTCATGACTTCCACTATCACCATAGTCATCCAAAACCCATTACCACGATCATCGTTGCCACTCATAGCTGCCACCACCACCACCATTTCCACCGCTCACCCCATCATAACTGGTACTTAAATTCTTTTCTCCATCCTCTATGTTTATGATTTGATTTTGGATGTGAATACAAATATGTTTATAATTGATAATTTTTTTAGTATTCCGTATTTTTAGACATGGGCAATAACTAATCCTTACAAATGATAGTAGAATAAATTCAGAATAATTGAGAATAATGTTCTGATTACAGAAGAAAAAAGTTCATCACATATAGCTGATTTCTCCTAAACTCTAAATCTTCATTAAAGTTCTTATATTGGATGAGTATTACAGCAAAGCAACCGGGTATTTATACCAACAATCCTTAATATATATTAAGCCATCAGAAACAAGGACTTAGAAGTTATCAATGTGTAGTTCCGTGAATATCATGAATTCTGGTTATACGATTAGAATGTTTGATTAAATATGATGATTGATGATGTACAAAAGAGTCTTATGCAAGATCAACAGTCAAGTGTGTGATAAAATATAATTAATGGACAATTAATAAAACAATCAATGACAATAATATAAATATAGAGTCAACACGCAGATATATAGTAGTTCGGTCAATGGTGGCGGGGGACCTTTTATTGATTAAGTAAGGTAAACGAGAGAGAGAACAATTGTTAACTCTGGGAGAGATATAATAGCTAGGAGAGACAAAAACTATGTGTGGAGGTGTGTAGAGAGGTGTCATCTCACATAGAGAGAGCTTACAATTTATAAGTACAGAACTTTAGATGAGGCGGTGATGTGAGGGTAAATGTATTAGATATTCGGGGTGCTACAAAAGGTATGCACAATTAAAGGTTGTCTTGATTTTTGAGAGTGAGTATCTTGATAATTGCTCTTCCCATTCTCTAATCCTTCTGAATTTCTTGAACTCTGGACTGGGACGAATCCATGAATTGAGTTTGATCCGCCTTGTAGTTGATTTGGGCCTAACTCATTAATTAAGTCTAACCCAGTTAAATCTAGACTCGTCAATGATAACTAAAATTATTCAAAGAGCAATGTTTATT